AGAGTCACAGAATCTGGAAGCTAGGCACAGGCAATCAGGGAAGTAACAGGGGGACTGAAAGCAAAGGAGTTAAGTCTAACCCTATGGGGGAATGGTGAAACCTTCAAGCAACTTCCCCACTCAGCTACAGAAGTTTCAGAAGGCCCACAAGGTATCAGAAAGATTCTTCTCAGATGAAACTGAGCAAGTCCTAGAGGAAAGGCTTACAGAGCCTGAATTTAGGGAATGCTCTGAGGACAAAAGCTGGCAAAATGAAACCTAAAATTCAGAAACAAAGGGCTATTACGTAAACATGCCTCACTTGTAAATTAAAAAAAAAAAAATAGTGTCCCACATATAAATATGAACAAATGGCAAACAAGCACCAGGCATTTGAGGAAAACAGTTAATGAGAGTGACACAGAGCAAAACTTCTTTTTTTTCCTTTTAGGGGGAGGGAGAGAGAGAATCTTAAGTGGGCTCTATGCCAAGCATGGACCCTGACTCAAGGTTCTGACGACCCTGAGATCATGACCTGAGCTGAAATTTAAGAGTGCGACACTTAACCCACTGAGCCACCCAGGCATCCCAAACAGGCAGATAAAATTCAAGGAACACAGAAAACTTTAAGAAACTAAAATAGTCTCAGAGAGATAAGATATTGCATTCTTAAAACAAGAACACAGTAACATTTAAAAAATGATGTAAGAAATAACTCTTGGAAATTAAAAATATGATAACTGAAATTAAAAATTCATTAAAACAGTTGGAAACGTAGTTAAGAATTTTCCCTGAAGGTAAACCAAAGACAAGAAAGATGTAAAATAGGGAAGAAAATAGTCCTAGATCAGTATGGGAACTTCAACAAAAGATCAGAAGTTACAGAAAGAAAAAAGAGAAAAAAAAAATAGTTGAAAGGACACTATCAAAGAAATTATCTAAGAAATGAAATATCTGAGTTTCCAGACTAAAAACTGCCAACACAGTGAAAAAACAGGACCACCCAGATGGTTTTAAAGGGAAGTCGCAAGACAACCCTATCATGGATTAAATGTTTTCATCCCCCCCCATAAACATATAGAAACCCTACTCCCCACCACCCCCCACCCCCGCACCCAGGAAAAAAGTAAAAGAAACCCTACTCCCCAGTGCGATGGTATTAAGAGGTGGGGTCTTTGGGAGGTGATTAGAATTTGATAAGGTTGCTAGGGTGGAGTCTTCATGAAGGGGATGAGTGTTCTTCAAATCCTATATAAAGTCAATGCCTTGAAAAATTGCACTACCTTTACCTTATTTGGAAATTCAAATGTAAATACAAGAACGCAGAGACAAAATATTTAAAGCAGTTATCTCAAAGCAGCAGAACATGGGGAAAATTTGGGAATGGTCAAGGGATCACTTTGTTATAAATCCTTTTACCACGATTTGACTTTTTTGACTTTGATAAATATTGAGATTATTTTTAAAAATAAAATGAAAGAAAGAAGTCATCTCAGGGGGGCACCTGGGTGGCTCAGTGGGTTAAGCCTCTGCCTTCAGCTCAGATCGTGATCTCAGGGTCCTGGGATTGAGCCCCACATTGGGGATCTCTGCTCAGTGGGGAGCCTGCTTCCTCCTCTTTCTCTGTCTGCCTCTCTGCCTACTTATGATCTCTCTCTGTCAAATAAACAAATAAAATCTTAAAAAAAATTAAGAAGTCATCTCAGAATACTAAACAACCAATGTTTGTTTTTTTTTCTTTTTTTTGTTATTGATTTAACACCTATTATTCAAAATTCAGATACTGCTTTTCTGATACCACCTTTCTGTTTGTGTGATTCCAACCTTCAGTTTATAAATGAGTTGATATGTCATATATCTAAGCAAAAACTGTACCCTTAAATTTTGGAAGGCATTGATGTTTTTACCTAAAACGAAATGCAGCTTTTTCGATTCTTGAAATTTTCATCAGGAGAAAAGTAATTATCAATCTGTACATCAAAACATAAGACAATTAAGAAGTTTTAACAAGCAAGATTTCTGATTTTTAGTAACAACTTTAAATAGATGACTCAGTTTTTCATTTGTAAATATTATGTATTCCATTTGCCACATTAACATGAATTTTATCTTCCAGTGAAAGACACAAACAGATCTTACTATGACTTACATGAGACTAGTAGTTAAAGGTCCTGGGTGGTTATTTATATCTATTTTCCAAAGAGATAGAATGTCTTATAAATCATGAAATGTATAGTGAGAGTCAAGAGGGGCTTCAGGCCTGTAATGGGAATTATGACCAAGAGTTTCCAGGAACTAATATTTCATGTAAACATGCCCTGCTACTTTTTTATGATGCCTAAATTTTCACATCAATAACATATTAAAAACCTAACACCAGGAGTAGAATATGTGATATTTCTTCTTTTCTTTATTTACTTACTATGTTCTCTTTTCAGCAAATCAATATTTCAAAGCTTCCCATAGTTCTCAGTCTTTTTCATCTTGCTTTTACCCCTAAGGTTTCTCTAAAATTTTCTATCCCTGCCTCAGACCTATTCTTTTTCTTGAGAAAGGGAGGACTTGAGACAAGAGGGTTTTCAAATATGCCTGAACACCAGGCCATCGAAAAGTAACTTAGCAAGTGATATGCTGTTGACTTCAAGGCAAGTTTGAATCTTTAATATAAGATAGAATAATGTAAAACAAGACCACAATTGATTTAAAAAAAATAGTCTACATTTTATATTTAGAAGAAAAATGCCTACAACAGTAATTTTTAAAATTGGACTTTTTGTGTTGGGACACCTGTCCTCTATTTCCAGAGAATATTCTGCAGTCAGTACACATGCAAAGCAGTACCATAACAGCATCTGTCCTGAAATTGCTATACAAAAAGAACTAATGTCTAAAATAATCCCTAAAAAAGTAAAGATCCAAAAGAAATCAAAATTTGATTTAAATACCATTAAAGAATGGAAATTAGACTAAAATATTTTGGAAAGGATGCTAGCTTAACCAAAGGCCTTCTTCTGGGGCCTTGGTTAGCATGAAACCATACATAAGTCCATCTAAACAGTTGTGTTAATATGTCTTGTTCATTTGTCAATGTTTATATTTAGTAAACTGTATCACCATCCAACTAGTAGAACAAGTCAGCAGCCTACGGATCAGGTTGACTTCTTTCCTCCTTCCAACAGAACTCCAAATCTTGTTGGTTGTACTTCTTAAATACCAATTAGGAACAAGTGTCCTGCTGATATCACTATTGTGCTAACCCCTCAGTACCCTGCCATACACCTAATGGCCTCCTTACACTCCTCTGTCCTGTCCCTTCCACTGAAACCCTTTACTAATTTGCCCTTTGGACCCCTTAACATGTATGTCAAAACTCTCCATGACTGATTCCACTACTCGGTTGCATGTTTTGATATTTGTCTCAACCTATCCTCTCTTTTCTCACACCAGCTATACTGAAGCTCCAATATCTTGCTTACTTGCTTTCCTAGTAATTGCTATCACTTCCTTCAATGTTGTCTTCTCTTTCTTTGCCTTACTGCCTCCTACTCATCTTTCAAGTCTTAGCTGAAGACTTTTCCTCAGAGAAGCCTTTGTTGATCTCTAATCTAAATTCATAAAATGCAGTAGCCACCTTATTCACATGCTTAGGTTCTGAGTTGGCCTACATTTGCAGCTGTGTGATAGGAGATGCCAATGGTTTTTAAAAATTAACAAATTTTAAAATGAGAAAATGCTATATACATTTTTTATGAAAAGTGAGGAAAACCCAATTATCAATTTCAATTACACATCTTGGGACAGCTAACAAAACACCAATGTGAGGTCTAAAATTTGCTGTGACATCCATTTTTTTGTCATGTTAAAAAATGATCATGCTGTGGCCTCAATTTTTTGCAGTATTGAAATATAATCACTACTTGAATGGAATTCCTTGTACCTTTAATTCAGATGAATTAATTAATTTCTGGTTAAATCACTTACATGTAATAAAATTTAACATGTAGTTCTAAAACCTACCCAAAGATTCACAACAGTTCTTTCATATTTATGTAAGTGACCAACAACCAACAATATTTATAGGAGCAGAGATAATTAGAATTTGAGATATCCAAGGAATAACCTTTGACTAAACATTTTTACATACTGCTTTTTTATCTCAAGTGTTACACACAGTACCTTAATACAATCTTATTTCATTCTTAAAACAATTCTAAGAGGTAGGCAAAAGAGGTATCATCATCCCCTCTGCAAAGTCACAGTTTAAATGGCTCACTCAAAGTCATCAACTATTAAGTTACTGACCCAGAGTCAGAATCCAGGACTTCTGACTACCTACAGAACTCTTTGCTCCATGGTTGCCCACTTAGTGCCATGATCTTGAAAATTCAAAGTATTAATTCCTTTAGGGTTACAATGGTCTCTCCAGCTATTCCTATTTTTAAATACAAATAATCCTATAAATATTATATATTAAAATACACTTATGTGTGAATTAATTTGTCACATCATTTTCCCTTGAGTCAGAGGGACTCTTAGCTAGTAAGATTTATGACCAGTGGTGGGTAGCTGGGGGAAAAAAAAAAGCTATTACAAAAATAGCAGTAAGGGACATATTAAGGAAACTTTGCATCCTTATCACTTTGCTGACCACCTTCATACAAGAAAGGCTCTTTCTAGCCAAATATACTCTATCTTTAAAAGTAGCTCTTTTCTGACCATGTTTAACTGGCAGTGATGGAAATGAATTAGTAGTTTAACCTGTCTGCACCTGCCAATTACTGCATTTACATTTTGATAGCACCACACAATTTATTATATATATATATATATATATATATATATATTCAATTTGACTTTTGCACGAAATACATGGTTTACTTATTTACAGATGAGAATCTAACTCTCAGTGGTCTTAAAGGACAAGTCGGGGACAGCGTCACATTCTTCAAACTAAAGCCTTCCTCCTTCCCAAACCCCACAGTGCTCACCCTCATAGAGCATCATTCTCAGTGGATACTTACATTTCATCACACCTTGAATCTCATAAACAGGTTTGAGAACCAGAGCACCATAAAAGCCTTTAGGGAATGGATTTGTTAAGTCCCACTTATTTGAAAAACCAGTAAGCTTCACAGTTCGTGTTCTGTTCTTTGGGATCTTCCATTCAACAATCTCCTTTAGGGTATAAATATGTTCATCTTCACACTCATAGAATTCTCCTTCTTGTGACAAAGGCAAAGTAAATGAGTGATTCTGCTGATTCCTTACCACTCCACAGTTCACCATTATTTCTCCACTGATCTCTTCAACTGAGCTGAGCATGATTTGCTCACCATGTTTTACAATGAGATTGTCTAGCTTTAGATCCTTCTGATGATAGAAGCAAGGATGCCCTAGTCTACTTGATCCAATGTGAATGGTCCTTGTTATTTCTTCCATAGTAAGGTATGGAGTTTTATCAGCCACAATCTTAAAAAGACCTAAGAACAAAAGAATTATGTAAATTAAAGAGAGTTCTTACAATGAAAGTTCTCATAAGAAATCCACAGTGAGAGAGTTATAAAACAAGTACAATGTAGCTTTTAAAAAGTAATGTATTTGTTTTAGTCCTGAATTTTTCAAGTCAAATTGTAATGTATTATTTGTATGTTACTGGGTCATTGGATCCAGGCAACACCAATGGAAACAAGGGGAAAATACCTTGAAATAGAAAAGTGCTGTTCTTGGAAGTGGGAAATATGAATGAGATACTGACTGACTGTATCCCAATGACCTGTGTAATCTTCAGCAAGACATTTAATTTCTTAAAATCACATTTTCTATTTTCAATGTTTAAATTGAGAGGATTGGATCAGATCATTGTTTCCATAAGTATATTTTCTGGACATACCAAAATTAAAAGATATTCCAGAAGAAAACTGTTTCATGGTCAAATTAACAATCACAGAACTATATACGTGGAAGGAGACAGTGGTGGTGATTATACAACCTTGTGAATGTACTTAATGACACTGAATTGTACATTTTTAAAAGTAAATTTTATGTTATGTGCATTTACCTACATTTTTCCAATTAAATACTTCTCAGAAACTTTAGATACCTTGCAACTCCCAAGAAGAGAATATAACATGTAGAATTTTGAAAATTTAATTGTAAACTCTTGGGGAAACATCCATTAATAAATTATAACATACCATGATATATTGGTGCTCCATGTAACTCTCCTTTAAAAAATGTCAGGTTAGGCAGCTGCCCTTGATTGAATACTCTTGGTGGTATATCATTCTTTTCATTGCTTCTCTAACTTTGCCATAGTTTCACTATTGGAAATTTTTTCTTCTAATACTATTGGAATAATCACTGATACAGTGAATTTTTACTATTTAAGATATAGCTTTTGAGGCATGCATGTTTAATTCTCCTCTTTCAATTATGTTTATTTTATGGGCACATCTGCTTTGTAGCATTTTCAGAAATGACTTTATTGAAGAGGTTTTAATAAATTCCAGAGAAAATAAGAACAAAGAAGAAAAGTAGGTAATTGCTCTCTTAACACAAAAGTAACTGAATGACAGTATTATATACTAGCAAGAATTAAGAAGATAGATTATCTTGCTAGATACTCATTAAACAATGAGACAATCTTACTAGAATTCAATATAGCTTGAAAAATCATTTATTAGTTTACTCAACAAATATATTCCAATTAAATTCATCTACATATCAAATCATTATTAACAGATTATAATGTCTCATGTCTATTATGGGTTACTACACAAATGATCAGTTATTTTTGTAGCTAATCTTTGCCGAAATAAAAAAAAGGATTTGGGTTGTTTTTAGACATAAACATCCTGAAAAAGTCCAGTGATGCAATCCTGGCAAAAAGTAAGGTAGTATACGCAATCTGTCCTGAAAAGCTTTAGAAATTTCACTAGGGTTCACTCACTGTATGGTGTGTTTGAAGACAGTGGAACAAAGAAATATTAACTTTGAGGGAGCTTCTTATTTTATTAGATCTTGTATCAGGGAAAATCCAATAAGAGAATATTCTTGAACTCTGATAATAAATGAATTTGTGTGTATGTGCATGTGCATACCTTTGTTTTATATCATTTGTCTGTATGTGAAGATTTGTTTCTAAGAGCCTACACTCATTATCAGGGTATATAAAATTGACCAGTTTTTGTGAAATGTTTTTTAAAAAGCTACCTAGAATTTCATAAATGGTAGAGGCACATAGTTTTATTCCTTTTCTAGATATATTGATGACATAAGTCATAGAAGAATTAATTCAGCATCTTCTCTCTTGGGGAATTGCGTTCACCTAAGGTAATAACAGACCTAAAATGTTACAAAGCAGAAAAACCTGAAATCCTAAGGGCCACTATTTATTTCAAGTTAATCAAATACTTCATAGCTGTCTTGTTGGATGTCTCTATTGCAAGAAAAATCTATCTATGAACCTGTGTGTTTTCCCTTAGAAGATGATTAAGTATACAGTTTAACATACTAAGTGGTAGACATAGGACAATATCTTTGATTAACTTGTTTCTTCATCTACTATTGCCACCAATCCAGAGTTTATCTTTCTAAACAGCAACTTGATACTATACAAACTAAGGTATGTTCATATATATATATGTGTGTGTGTGTGTATACATATATATATATGATGCAGTATTGAAACTTCAATTTCACAATAAACTAAAGTACCATAAGCTTGATCAGCTTTATATTTCATCAATTTTTCCTCCATCTTTTCACAAAGAGTACAGTAGTTTTACACAGGAGAAAATATAATTTGCTGTTCATCCCCCTCCCCCAAAACAATTCAGGAGCTGAGGGATCATAGGGTGATTATGAAATTAGGCAATATGTAACCTTCATAAAGTAAGCTACAAACAGAAAGAAAATATATTGCAATTTCCAAATTTGATTGTCACCTATTAAAATGGATATTATTACTTTTAAATTAGGAGAAATTCATAAAGAGCATGCATTTGAGAAACAAAAGTTATAAGGAAATGCAATTAATTGATCTATTGAAAATTAACGGATGAGTGAATTTAGTCTTTAAGATCTTATCTCTGAATCTTAAGTTTTTGGAGACATTATAATTTTAACCAATTCTTAATGATCTGCCAATTTAGTAGTAGTAACAACTGAAATTTGTATGGAAATTCACAAGGTTGAAATTTTTTTTTCATGCATCATTTATGCTGACAATGATCTTTTAAGGACAATATAACAAATATTATCACTGAAGGATATAAAAATGGTCACGATTTTCATTGCCATGGCTCTAGAATCTCAAATCAGACCTTTGGCATCCAAGTTTTATGTTCTTGCCACCATACTAGTCTGCCTTCCCATCCTGCACATAACTCACAAGGACATTGCTCAGGAAAACATGTTTGTTCTCGTTCACAAGATATGTATATGGGTCTCATTACCCATTCTCCCTTTGCATTTATCAGCCTTTCCAGAGCCTCCAGTGTAAGAACAAGAGTAACTTCCTGATTCACTGTGCATAATTTACGCTCATCAGATTTTTTTCTACCTTTTTAAAATCTCATCAATTTCCACCCAAATAGGGAGTAATTTTAAAAATTAAAATTTCTAACTGTATATCACATTATTTTAAAATTATTTTTATTAAAAAAAAACTTTTTTTAAGTAGACTTCCTGTCCAATGTGGGGCTTGAATTCATGACTCAGAGATCAAGAGCTACATGCTCCACCAACTGAGCCAGCCAAGCATCCCCATAATATTCTTTAAAATATAAAACATAAGATCATCATGAAGATTTTGCAATCATGTTCATAGGCTAATATCTAGCCTTCCTTGCTTTCCCAGTTCCAACCAAAAATATTCCCTCCATCTCTGAGATAAGGAATCTTAGAGTGAACTATGCCTACTAATTCTCTGAAAGTAATGGCCCAACACAGGGTAAATAATTGGTCTGTTTTGTAAAAGCTTGGATGTGTCCTAGTTGTTAATTGCCACATCCCCAATTCCAAATCCTATGGTTCCCTCTTCCCGGGAATATCCAAGAGATAAAAAGTAACATTCAGTAACAGTCATAAATCTTTTCCCATTGACTCAAAAACACTATTTTGTTAAAGTTAAGCTGGATGATCTGTTGAGAGGTAAGTGGTAAGAGTCAAGTATGAAATATGTACACATTTTTCACATTGGATGGCAGGATAAAAGCCATAGACAATACCCCTAACTGAAATCTCACTATTCATAGAACATAATACAACTGCACTATGACAGAGGAGAGGAATCAGGAAACACCTAAGAATGCCAAGGACAAAACAGTAGCACCAGATTGCTGTTGTATACAGTAATATAGCTATGTTGTGTACAAAGTTACATGCATTGACTCACTGGAATCCTTGAGTCCCCACTAACCAGATGTTTAAGAGGTAGACAGAGGAATTCACAGGACAGTGGTGATTATATGTGCTTAGCTGAAAGGATAAAAAGCAATATATATCGCCACATGTGAGAAAGTCCTCAAAAGACCTCAAAAGACTGCATACAGACATGTAAATTTTATTTTTCACATTACACATACATCATCAAAATGATCACAGTACTGTAATTGAGGGGAAAGAAAGGTAACCAAAGAGGTGAAAGACCTATACTCTGAAAACTATCAAATGCTGATAAAAGAAATTCAAGATGATGCAGAAAAGATGGAAAGATGTTCCATGTTCATGGTTGGAAGAACAAATATTGTTAAAATGTCTATACTACCCAAAGCAATCTACACATTTAATGCAATCCCTATCAAAATACCAATGTGCATTTATCACAGAACTAGAACAAACAATCCTAAAATTTGTATGGAACAACAAAAGACCTCAAATAGCCAAAGCAGTCTTGAAAAAGAAAAGCAAAACTGTAGGTATCACAATTCCAGACTTCAAGTTATATTACAAAGCAGTAATAATTAAAACAATATCATACTGGCATAAAAATAGACACATAGATCAATGGAACAAAATAGAAAACCCAGAAATAAACCCCACATTTATATGGTCAATTAATCTTCAACAAAAGAGGAATGAATATACAATGGGAAAAAGACAGTCTCTTCAACAAATGGTGTTGGGAAAACCTGACAGCAACATGCAGAAGAATGAAACTTGACCACTTTCTTTCACCATACACAAAAATAAACTCAAAATGGATTAAAGACTTAAAAGTGAGACTTGACACCATAAAAGCCCTTGACAAGTGTACAGGCAGTAACGTCTCTGACATTGGCTTTATCAATGTTTTTTCTAGCTATGTCTCCTGAAATAAAAGCAAAAATAAACTATTGGGATTACATCAATATAAGAAGTTTCTGCACAGCAGAGTAAATAATCAACATAACTTAAAGGCAAACTACTGAATGGGAGAAAAATATTTGCAAATGACATATCTGATAAAGGGTTAGTATCTAAAATACATTAAAAAAAT